GCTTGGAAAAATGGATAACAAAGTCGCAAGTGTACTGATATAATGAGATTGTTTGTATGCATAAAGCATAATACTACGCATCATCACATGCATGCTGCTGCCTTTCCGTCCCCACCCACGCCCACCCTCTTTTCGCCTACCTCGAACTCTTTAACGAACTTTCTTATTTCATTTTCAATGCTTTCTCTGTGACAGTCGAATATGCTCTCATAAAACTGCGTTGCTCCTACAACAGTGAGCGAAATACCGCACGTTTATCATAGTCGGGTCAGTATAAACAGCCCACCACGCCACCCCACAATAAAAGGTACCCATTTTCCCATAGTCAGCTCCCCACTTCACAAAAAGGGAAAGAGAAAAAAAATTATCACACCTTGGACTACTCCTTTCGCATCGTTCTTAGTCATTATGGTTATTCACCTTCTTATCCAGGTGGCGAGCATTATCTGTCATATCGGTAGCCGCCGCAATAATTATTCTTTCCCAATCACACCCCATCTCCGCCAATAAGATTTTAACAGGTTTCCAAATTGGTCGTCGCACCTAAAACTCATCACGGCCGTAAAGCCATTCATCAAGAAAATGTCGGTGAACTTTATCCACAAAGAATCAGCTTATGGTAAACAATATGGTTCAAATATGGCATCAATGCAACAATTGCCACAAACAGATTTGTTCTTTGTGCAATTTTTTCTACCACATCACCACTCTCCTGTGTTACCCGCATACATAAAGGCACACTGAGAACAAAAACTCTCACAGCATCGCTTTATTGATAACAATGCGCCAGGTAAATAGGGAGCCAAGTTTATTACAGTCTGTTGTCGTTTGTTCTTGAGCTATTGTTTGTCTCGACTTGTTGTCAATTTTATGAGAAAAGCAGAGTGAAAAGCGTATAATAAGGTTCACAGTAATATTAACACACCCCCCTTTCCAATTTACTTATCGTCCCCACCCCCTCTTTGTTGTTTACAGTGAGACGCTTTCCTATCCAGAGGTCAGCTAACATATATAACGACAAAAAAATAAAATAATACGCTCAACCCCCTCCTCGCTTTTTCTTAAGTGGTATGTATGTACACAATATTATGTTTCTGTTTATTTTCTCTCTGACACCCACCCTGACACCCACCCCGACACCCACCCCGACACCCCCCTGACACCCACCCTATCCGAGCTTACTGTTCCTTTCAACAAACTATCGTAAACTTGTTGTCTTAGCTTATCGTATAACTATCATTAATTCAACGTTAACTAACCGTTCCCTCTTATATTTGGTCCATAAGTAGCATATTAATATACAATGTCCACTTCGACGATGCCAGAACACGTCGAAATCCGACCCGACACGAGCAGCCAATCATCCGACTCTCTCTCCACATCAGATTGTCTGCGATTTAGTCAGGTGGTTGAAGAAGTAATAGAAGAAGTGCGACGAGTCTACCCCAATATCCACACTACTCTTCCTCTCAAGGAATTACTCGATCCAGCCGAGAAAAAGAGATCAAAGGGCGTCCCGCGTCCCCAGAATTGCTTCATGTTGTATCGCAAAGATATACGGGCCAGGTTCACAAGAGAAGGAAATGCATTGTCAGTGGCCGAATCTTCTCGGATCGCCGCTGAGAGTTGGCGGAACCTTCCGCAGGAAGAGAAAAATTTTTGGCACGCTCTATATGAAATCGTAAAGATGCAACATGCCATTAAGTATCCTAATTATAAATATCAGCCCGTTAGAGGCAAACAGGCCAAAAAAGGTCGTGGTATGATGATAGTCGATGGGATTAAACGCTCCGATAAAGACGACAAATCGGATAAGAACGGTCAAATGCAGTATCAGGGGAAATTTTCCGCCACTGAGAAGATTTAAGGGTACGGATGGCATATGGGTAAATGTGCAATAGGTTAGTTGTCAATCATGATATACGTATTCGTTATTATATATGTCTTTTTTTTTTACCTTGAAGAATGCATTAGTCTTGTTTGGGAGTAAACGAAAGGGAAAAAAGGTTGCTCGCTCGTTAGTAATATACTACCAGTACAATCATATGATTATGAAATGAATGCAGTCTTTTGTTATTGTTTGTTCTCGTGATGTTTTTTTTCCTCCGACCTTTTCATGCATCTTCCCTCATCATAATTTTCCCACTATCGTTTTCCCAATTAATCTCCTTACTCTTCACTTTCTCAACTCGTTGTTTCTCCTCCCTCACACGCTTCCCCTCCATCACATGTTTACCCATTACCCTTACGCCATCACTGTTTTGCTATCTCCTCTCGTACCCTATCTATCCCTCCATCCCCACCCTCCCTAATCATGCAAAGCATTCACGAGATCAACAATATGTTATGGCTGAGTAATACTATAGTGATTTCATCGCACTTCTTTCCCATCTCCAAATAAGTCTTAGGCAGTAATATACGATAATATCTTTTCGAAACATTTGTCATCTTTTGCCAAGACTTGTGATCGACGAATATCTAGACCGTTTATTAATATGGCCTTCTATTTTATCTATTTTATCATATAGATTGGCGCTAGGATTCCGAAAGAACAAGAACAAAATGAGCGGGTGTCTGTGTGCTTCTCTGGCGCATGCTTCTCACGTGGATCTGTTAATAGATTTCTCAGTTATTGAAAATAGTCTGTGATTTTGTTTTATATTTTTCTTTTGTCTTTTTTCCCCCTCTCTTTAGCTATTGTTTGTTTGTTTACCTTGTCATTTTTTGCAAGGATGGTTGGTGTTTTTAGTATCAAACTTGTATGTACGTGGTTTTTTTTGATGCTAAGGGCGGTGCGAATCTTAACATGAATAAAAAAGACATATTGTTGTCTTAGTTATGCTGTAAAGAGGGTTGGCATAAGTGATTGGGAATGACATCCCTTTTGTTTATTAGAGGTGGTTATGATTTCTTTTCCATATCTTGGGATACAGACTGGAAATATTCTGATCTATATATAACTAAATAATGCCGTCTGTTAAAAATACCATACGATTTGTGTTTCGCGGAGTTTGAGGAAAGTCCTGACGTCTCCGAACATACCAAAATATAATATCGATCGATCATCTGGTGTGCGAACGTAGCGAACAATCGAATGAGCCGTAATTATACATTTTCTGCTAAATAAAGCTGGATATGATGCGTGTAGCGAGGGAAAATAATCAATCGTATTGTTATCTGAATCACGTGTAAGGGGTTGCGATCGAGAAATTAGACATTCTTGAATCGATTAGGAAACTGCATGTGAAGCATTTGAAACGGAGAGATTGTAGGGTGTATAAATCTCACGGGAACTACCCTCTTATAATCAATGTTTCCCGCATCTGTTTGTATAAACAAAGCGGAAGAAAGGGAGGAGCGAGGGAAAAGTGTGTTTGCAAGTGATTCGAACCAAGGAAAGTAAAATGAACAGTTTTGCAATGAATATTCGAAGCAGCACCTCATTCGTTTGTACCGATACATCATTGTTGGCTATTTGTATAAATGTATTATTCCAATATTAGCCATCAATGAAAATTCACGTTTACTGTTTACAAATAAACAAACACTAAATGATATGGGGATACATACACAGCCATTTTAATATCGTACGATCCCATGCATCAGTTACGTTATAATCTACAAATATGAATTCAAAATACGTTAGGTATCTTTTGCTCATCTTTCCGAAACCGCTTCAACAAAGCAAGACTCCGAATCTTCATTTGTCTGTTCCACTTACACACGTTCACTTGTCCATAAACGCCCGCAAAAACATCTCCTTTCAAATCAAAGCTGAAATAGACAAATGACAGTAACTGCGGATATTTGTATTTCGTTTGTATTAAATGGGCATTGACATGTTCCGAGTATACCGGCTTGATATAATCAGTACTTACCAAGCTCATCAATAAATTAAATCTCTTCAAGCATATGCCGAACCGATGGCCGACGATTACTATTATCGAAGTTCAATGATTCTCTCACGAAGCATTCCTTCTCTTGTTCATGTAACTTCTGATATAAGATGACGGGGATCATCATATCAACCCCTCCATTTTAACTGGCCAAGGAAATGTCTGTTGAATCCATTTTCCTCTTCTCCCCTCCTTCTCATTTCCCAATGTTCATCTGCACAATAAATCTGTTGGCATAATTTCGTCGAGTGACATATACCGACAACGATTGTTTATTTACGTGACCCGAGGTCTTGATTGCTACGCAATCGCGTTTGTTGAAATATCATACAAACGGCCTTTTAGCCTAAAATCCTAGCATAATGAGATGCATCATCCGATTGGCATCCTTGCTTCATGTGAAACTTGATGAAAGACATCATGAGGTTTAACAATAGTGTTTGAAGTAACCACCTCTCTCATCCGTAAAGTGAGATCATGTCTCGAACACTATTTCAATCGAGGTTCATGTTTTAAGACATTCGCCGTCTGTTACGTTTGGCATTGTCTAACGATTCATCTTTAAGCACGAATCTAGTCATCGTTTGCTTGTTGCAAAGAATATAATATCATAAACTTTTATAGAAATATCTTGTTTCGATATCTGTAACTGGTTCGCCATAACTATAAGACAATATAAACCTATGTAAGTAATGTTTCTGGTAAAAAAAATGAATAAAAGAACAAAATAGTTATCGTTTAAGAAGAGTCACCTTATTACGAACTTATATTTTCTGGTATCGTAAAACTTGGCACATGTTATCTTACTGCTATACCAGCTCGCATAGCTTTTGATTTTTTCTTCGATAATTCCGATATTAACTCCATATCATGGACAATCTTCGGGAGACACTCGCGTGTGCATATGACCCTTTTACTCCGTAACCGGGCGCGTATTTTCAGCTTGTTGCTAAGGACTATACTTGTCGTCGACGCTCAAGAACTTCTTGCCTATTGTGGTAATTTTTCTTGTAGCTTTACCATTCTGTTTGCATAGCCACGGTGATGGAAGCAAAGGTTTCTTAACCGCGCAGGCTGGAATTCACTAGGTATGTGGTTGACAACAAGGCAAGAGGGGAGAATGGTTTATAGTCGTTGAGATGAGAGACTATATGCCAAACGAATGTAATAATACTGATGTCTTATCTACTGACAAATTGGGAAATGACCGCTATCGTAATAAGGTTGTATGTACTTCTAACGATGAGGATTAATGTATTCATTAAGGGCTTGTGCTCGATGTAACTTCGTGGGATTAGTTAAAGAATGAATATCGAATAATATGGGTTTCTGGATATAGACGCAAAACAGAATAGTGTTGAGAATAAGCAGCAGAGACCCCTTTTGAACATTTTGCGAACAATGTTACCTTACTTAGTTATGGTACAATGGTTATCACGTGCGTCCCGTTAACGCGGCGTGGCAGGCAAGAGTATTGCCTGCATGCAAATGTTAACTTCTTCACATTCAATCACCTTGATCGTATCGATTGTATTAATTACGCCGAGTGCATCGATTGAAAGAGAAAGTAGTCAAATATTAGCTCTTTTTATAAGGAAAATCAAAACTTTGTTAGTGTATTAATTACGCCAATTGCATCATCGATTGTATTACTGTAACGACACTTTTGTTTTGTCTGGCAACCGTTAAATCCTGATCTTGGGCTTGTATGCGGTGTGTCCAGTATACAAATTCGGATGATTGGGCGGATAACATTCTTGTATCCAGATAAGGTAATAAACAAATATACGGCCACTGTGTCAGCAGTAAATAAATGAAATGTCACAACAAACAATTGGATCATATCAAACAAATAAAACAATTAATGATGCGACAACATAACAATACGTAATCTCTGCTGGAACAATTACTTGCAAACATTAAGTTGCTAACAATCTGCATTGCGTTCTTCAAGCGACGGCGCGGTATCGGCCACGCATTTGAAAAGACACATGCATGTCTCGGTGTCTAAAGCAGTATAATCTTAGTATCTTTGTTACTGGTAATGCTCTAATTTCTGTATTTGTTTTTCTACTAACTGCGGCTATAGATATTAATTACTTAAACATAAATTTATGTTTAAATGAATATTATAATTAGCAATCACTGTGTTTGTTGACCACAGGCTACAAAATAAATACTTTATTCTGTAAATATGTTGTCAAACAAAAAAATTTTGTAATATTCGGTTTTATTGCAAAATCTTTGTTCAAGAGCAATTTAAATAGCTAAATATTATGTTCATCTTGATCTGAGAAAATGGTTTAACATTTTATTTTATTTACAATTGTAGCACTAGCTTTAAGTAATAAATATCTACATAATAATAAACATTAACAAGAGAATGATTGGGGGAAAATCTTTAACTAGCAGTCAGTAAATTTAAAATCAAAAAGGGCCGGTCCCATCTTTTTTTTTTTTACCACAATGCAACAATTGTGAACAGTCACATATAATGACTAGTGTGGCTAGGATATTGACCATGGTGAGAAGAATAGTCAATATTAGATTATAGTATAAAATTAATTTACGTCAAACATACTATGAAACCAAACAGTACTATTAGAAGCATTGTAAAGAAACCCCAAGGAGAAAATAGCACCAGATGTGTCTGCACCTCCAGAAGTATCTGAATAAAAACAAATTACTTATGAAATTTATCAATCAAAAACTAGAAAAAGAGATCCGAGAATACTGGCAAAGAATAACAAATAATGATCTCTTGTTTTATATCCTTTTCATAATATAAAAAACTCAAACACATACACTAAAGTTGGCCGAATTAGTAATAAAACAGACTTACCATCAGTTTGTTTATTGTTATTACATTTTAATTTGTAATCAGGAAAAACATGAAGTTTGTCTGTTGAAAATCTTTTCTTTAATGCTGATAGTAATGCATAGTCATCATCAACAAGGATGTCAATATCAGAATAGCTGTTTTTTATTTGTTCTCAATTCCTTCTAACATGGCCGCGTTTTAGGAGTGGTTTATACTAATACAGTGCGCTTTTTATTATTATCACTAAAATTGTAAATAAGTGTTTGGCTAAAAAAATACATCTCGGCAACTATTTCAAAGGGTAAGCTTTACTTGTAATTAAAGTATACAGAGAAGAAATTTGATTTCGATTCTAATTCTGGTTCATTAAATATTTTTAGCATATACTGGCTTTGGACAAGTAACGAATATTAAAAGGAGGGTAAGATTAAAATGGATAACGATTAATTTCCTTGGAAACGCGTGCTTTTCTTGTTTCAAAAACACCATTAGCTACTGTCTGCGTTTTGACAACTCCAGGATAGAGAAATCAGTTCAATCATCAATTGAACGACAGTAATTAAATTCTGTAATTACCGTGTTCTTTGTTCTATCGTTTCCTCTGCACTTTTATTTACATTCGTCACCAGCATATGTACTTACCAAAACGCTAATAGCATAACCCACAATCAACTGTAGTATAACTATTATCCCTAATTATTACTATTTACTTTTCTTTCCACACTCCGTTCCCTTTTGCTTACGTACTCTATTCTCTCAATATCTATTACTATATACCTCAATGTTAAAGTCCCATCCTCATAGCTTAAAAACTTCAATACTATAACTCGGTATGTCATTCCCGCCTGTATGCACAAACGCCTTCCTTGTGATCTTTTCTCTACCCACACCCAGTTTTTTCTCCTCTTTCTCCTTTTGTATCTTCACGTGTTTTCGATGGAAATCATACAGGTGACCATGTAGCTTTTGTAACGATTGACATTTCGACAATTCCGATGATGTATATTCATTGAGTGAGGTCAGAAATGGGTGAAGAGAGGGCGAAAGAATTACGGTTGTAAAGTGGGCATCGAGTAGCAATGAAAGAAATTCGAGAATCTGAAATTGATTATGCGAAATTAGTACAAGAGGTTTCAAATGTTCACGGTTCATCTCCACAGACATCAAAATAGCTAAAACTTACGTGCTCCAATCTCGGAATGTTACTTTTCTGCGTCTTTTTCGCCATACTTTGCTCGTTACTCTCACTCAAAATTCTCCCCCTGGTCTCTTCATCCTTCATCAACATCCCAAACCATCTAACCAAGGTCTTGAATACCTCTATCATCTCTCTGACAGTCAATTCTTGCAAGCTATACCTCATCAGCATTTTATTCCTTGATTTACATATCGCGAGGGAGAGGCATCTCTGAAGGAGAAGGTTTTTGCCATGATCCTTCCTTGGAGTGGCAATCGCATGTTTGATTAAGCTTATCAATGAATATTCGGATATATCGCGTACGGTTAATACGGTTAAACGGAGGAGGTGCTGAACGATAACGAATTCGATATGAATGGTTTCCGGGGTAGATATTCAATGGTTAGATGTATAGACAAATAAATAGTTCATCATGCATGAACATTATACCTTTCCTATCACTAAATACTATTCCAATATTTCTTCCAAAAATACGTACCCAGTTGTTCAATGCAACAAGCGCCTTAATAATTCCTCCCTCGACTGCATTATCGTACAACATATTGTGTTCGATCAGATACTTTATTACCCTGAAAGAAAAGAAATCTGATTGCGGTTTCCCTTCAGCGGAACATGTGAAGCATTTAGATAGGGTTGCGAGAACGAAACGGTGGGAAAGCATCGGTGTCATGGCGGACTATAGAAAAATTTGAATCAAGTCAAAGGTTAACTTGTGATCCTCAGCTTATAGTCAATTTTCCCTGGCAATTCTCATTAAGCTTACCTTAAATCTATTTTTCAAGACCTTGGCACTCGTCTTCCCTCCCTCATTTCTTCTTGATTCTTCTTCTTCTTCTTCTTCTTCCTCGTCACAATTACCAACACCATCATTACCATCGCTACTACTTCTCTTCACACCTCTCTTTTGAAACCCATTAACCTGCGCTCTCTCCACTTCCTCTTCATATATTTTCATGTCGCGTTCGCTTAACGAATATCTCTTTTGAAACACCTCCTTTGCTTCGCTTGTTTTTGTATCAACATACTCCATAAAATATTTTGTGAATTCATCGGGGTTAGATGAAGACAACATGTTAATGACGGTATGGGATTCAAGATTTTCAAGTTGAGCGAGAGTCGTCTCGTAATTTTGGAGAATGGTTTGAGAGGAATCTGGTGGCGTCTTTGGTATATTGACGTTAGAGGAATAGGAGAGGGAGAAAATATTTGTGATAAAAGATGATGAGAAAAATGTCAATATTAAGATCTATATTATATCTTATGTTATATACTTATTTCCCTATTTTGCATGAGGTCATCTTGTTAATGTCTTAATTCTCCACTTTCAACACATGCCTGACAATCTCACTCGTTCCCCATGCCCTACTCATTTCCAATGTAATCTTACATACACAGTCCAAATGTCCAACAGCATCATATCCGCTCCTTGTGAATCCTTGTCCGGCAGAAATTCCATCATTGACGTCTATGCCAAAGTACTTCACCATGTACTTCATACGATCAACGGCATGTAGCATAGTCATCTTCTCACTAGCGTATTGACAGCTATGTATGGATATGTTCATAAACTCAGAGTTGGGAGTTGACCTTTGCGTTGCCAAGATCAGATGGGAAGACTCGAGAGGTGTGGATAATAGCTAGGGACAATTGGAATAGAATATGAATAAGCCGTGAAGACATCAGCGTATGTCATATTGAATTAGGGTTGCAGTACATTAACTTTTTTTATGCAGTGACGTTTACCTGATAGGCTAATATTTCACCCGCTAGAACATGTTTTATGCGTTCGGATACTTCAACGATATGTTCTGTCTGTAAAGTAAAATATATTCCATCCCATATACTTAACACATGTTCGACTAAGAAGACATAGTAATTAAATTAACCCATAACGCAATTGAGGACATTACCAATACAAGTCACAATAAACCTATTTACTTACCATCAGTATCATTAATTTTCCTCGCACCTAGTAAAGCCCAGAACGAAGATCCTAACGGCTTTATCGATATCATGTCTCGTACTTGTTTTTTGGGTAGCGACTTTTGTTGGGTTGTTTGATGATTTGCAAGAGAAAACGGTAAAAATCCTCCTAGTGGGAGTACAATTGCTCCCGATGATTTATTAATATACGGAGTGGCATTCTTACCCGGATGGCAATGTATTCTGTAGATTTTCCATACACCTGCTTGGTCTGATGAGCGATTGAATCAGTGTTTATTAAAGAATTAATTTAATCATTTGTATTATGAATAAACTATTTGCAAATTCGCGATAATTTGTGCTTACCTATAACACTCAATTGACCCAAGGAAGGATGAAATCCGCAAGATATAAAGTTTGCTTCATCCTGTCAAAAACAATAACTCAGTGTAAACGTCATAATTATTTATAATCCTTCCTCTCATTCATGTCCCTTTTATCTCCCACGTTATATCCATACTAACCTCAATCTGTAGACTCGCCCATAGGCCAATAACGCCTTTCTTACAACGTATATGATAAAAATCCAACCGACCAACTGAATGTGAATTACCATCAAGTTTGCTACTGCTGAGCGTAAGGAGAATTATATCTTTGGAAGAGAATGATGACGATAAAAAGGATGATTTGGGAGAGAACAACGTGCACCAACGGACCGTTTGGGTTCTTGTGTTAAGATATACGGATAGCATTGAACATGAGAGGGTTATATATAATGTATGTGAAAATATATAGTTGACCAAAAAGCTTAATAATATGCAATACCTTGACGGGTTGTATTCATCTCTGATATGCGTAAGATCATTCGTAATTAACGAAATACCACCGCCTTCATTTATCAGCAATAAATCATGTGGTCGAGTAGGAGATATCTCCACACTAAATATCGGGAAATCAAACTGCAGATAACGGATTAGTTTTGCATTCCAACAAAACTGTCGTGTAATCGTCATCACGCTTTACCGCGCACCTCTAAACTAACCTTCTTTATATTTCCCTCACAAACCCTCGCACTCATTGATTCACTTTCCTCCTTTTGGAAGTCAGCGTCCGTACATGACCATATACCCATCCCTACACGTCCATTGCGTGTATCTTCAACAATAGAATAAAAATTACGAGCTGATAATGGTAATTCTAGACATTTGACAGGACTACAAAGGCGTAGGCCAGATGGAATTTGTATAGATCGAAGACGTTTTATTGTTCGGGATCGATTAGGCTAAGGTGCGGGGGAAGGAGGGGGGGGGGGGGAACACCGCGCGTCGAGAATGCGATATAAAATTAAGTTTAGTTCGTGCTTGTCGTTGAGATATAGTCTAAAACAATTTGATCAAATCGAAACAGTCGACTCACCGAGTCCAAACCTATAAAATACACACAAATTTCACTTTCTTCCGTCACCACCACATTATCTCCAAGAATTACAGTTCCACCAGTACTTCCAGACGCAACACTTTCCTCTTCTTCCATTGTCATTTGTTCTATCACGTTCTCATTCGCATTCACACATAAACTTATTGAAGGTTGGCTGTTCCATCGTTCAATAGTTTTAACGCATTCTATTATTTCATGCGAGGAAAGAACTGTTACCGCTCCTGGCTTCATGGTCTTGTATCAATGTTTAATGAGATTCGATCTTCTTTTTTTTTCTTTAAAAAAAACCTTGCCGTAGTATGACATAATATTGCGTCCAATCATATCAATTGATACAATCCGATTTCATATAACAATCTGTGATCACATGATAGCGAGTCCAAGAATGTTTTATTTCAGAAAAGTGATCATATTTAATACAACAAGTGATTGATCCATTAATGAGTATATCCTATTTCTTTGGTCACTCTGGTACAATTAAAGGTTTACTATCTTACTATATCTATTATTGTTCCGTCATCGATTACATTAAACTTTTTATTTTCCTTTTCCTGTCTAGTCTTTCTCATTTAGTTACTTCCCTGGACGTATAAATGTCTTTTAAATTGAAAGCGGCTAGACCATTTCCTTTCGCTTGTTGGTTCAATCTCTGTTCTCCAATAGTTCCTACTGCGATGTAATCATTCTAAACGTAATAGTAACCAATTGGCTGACTTTACAGTAAAATACTCACTTATGTCATGTTAATTGCAACAGTCACATTAATTAACGTCATTCACACTCTTCGTAAATGGAAAACTAGCTGTCAGTTGTAAAAAAGTCTATAACGTTCCCAATATTGTGCGTCATTTATTAAGTAACCAGTGATATCGTGGAGACATCTTTCTACTGACGATCGAGGAAGTATACAAGAAAATTGATGCTGTGTAAACGGAACTGAAGAATTGTATCGCAGATGGTAATACACGCGAGAATTTTTTGCTATATATCCTCGGATACTAAATTTTGAAACCAAACTTAAACGAACTAAGTATCAGTAGATTATCGAGATACGGAATTGCTTCTCTCATCATAACGTGCTTTTGTATTATGGTGCACGAGCGATTGCCAACCCGCATAGGCTGACAATTTAACACTAGCTGCATACTCGATATTAATATGTTTAGCGTTAGTTTCAGTCCGTGACTTTTAATTGCACAAATTTAACCCGTGACTTTAAATTGATATTGAATCGTCAAGCTTGAATGCAATATGCACTGATAAGCGTATGAAATGTCACGTCCTTAATTCACAACAAACAAATATATTTATTAGATGCCGACCGTGTATATAAGATCGGAAGAAATGTGTGATTTATTACATGTGATTGGCTAGGAGCGTACATCGAGATACTGATAACGCAGATAGTATTCTATAACATAGATTATACATAGCAATCCCAATTTTACCGAATAACAAATTATCTTTTCAGTGCCCTAGCGTTGTCCTTTTTCTTGAATACCCCCGTTTGCTATTTGAAATCGACATCTCAAATTTTATACGAGAATAATTGCTACTCGTTTCGTACCATAAGATTAAGGTTTGCTATAATAATAATTGTCATCCAGACGATAAAGAAGTAAATCTGATCTTGAAGAAAAAGCTTAATCCTATTTACGGAAGGCCTGCCGATAAGCTGCATAAATCTCCGAACCCTTGCATACAATTGGTTCGTATTTGGAATTAGAGTTGTACAAATGATATTATCTCTACACATGTTATCGAATTGAATCGATCCAGTCATTTATGCTTAACTCTTAGCGAAAGTATCAGCCAACGTAATCGTAATGCATTAGTGTTAGTATTAGTGAATAATCCCCCCAAAAAAAGTCCTATTATTATCACTCAAAATGCGATTGTTGACAAAGGGAATTAATTGAACCAGTATCAGTATGCATTTGAAGTAGTATCTGATGACAACAGAATATAAAAGCAATTTAAACGCATCGTTGTGCGAGGGTTTATTGATCGTGCATTGTGCATGAAATTCGCGTGATTTCATGCTTTCCGCTTTTGGCAGTCACCACTATGATGTTTCCAATCACCATCACCTTTACTATCGAAATGTAACGACACCAATGAGGACAGCTTCTCCTGGATAACTTCATATAATTAGCAAGCAAAGAAAAAATTCAAAAAGAGATCGACGATAACTTGCTTTCTTATACGGCCTTGGTATATCTGTATTCGTATGAAATTGTGCGAGTATTGAAAAAATCAATAAACCCCAAGAAGCAAGACATTAAGTCTATCCAATAAAATTTTTTTTACTATTTATAGTAAAAATGATTTGGAGCCTGACAGTAATTCCGCATGACAAATGATCTCCGTGTACTCACGGTGAGAAACCCCAATTTGGGTAGCTTTCCATGAATCTGGGGATGCGTTATACAAATTTATTATACTGTTCAAGATGGCAAAATGGAGAATCGCAACCGTATCGAATCACGGCCAACGGTTTGCTTACTTACAGAAATGACGGTTATACATACTGCCAGAAAATTAAAGTATATCAAATTTGTTGCACCGTTAACTTATTTCGCCCCGGGTTTAATTTAACATAATCGCGATCATCCTCCACCGCCACATAGTAATAAATACCCGCCCTCCATGCTCTCTCTTGCCTCTTCATCCACATTTTGATTTCCTAAAAAAAAATCCCTCACGTTCTTTTTATATTAAAACGTCTATTATTCAGTCTAAAATGAAAAGATTGTCTGTCATTTCCCGGATACGCACATCTATTCATCGACGAAAAAAAACTAAAGAAGAAAAACTTGTACCTGCCAAACGTTGGTTCTCGAACGGTCCTCTAATAGATGTGTTCCCTCAAGATGATGACGAAATAGATAGGTTACAACAATTACACTATTCTATGAAGTATGCGTGGGTCGGAAATTATTCATCACCCGTTCATGAAGTGCTATCTGAAGGAAACAAAGTACTTGAAATAGGGTAAGCAGACTTTTATTTATTTATTTATTTTAGAGAATACTAATTTACCCATTTCTACTTTTAGTTGTAAAATGGGCACCTGGCTTGTTGATATGTCTCTACAATATCCTAATTCTTCCTTTACGGGCGTCGATTATCGTCAGTTTTTACCAACCGACACTGGTCCGCCAAATGTAACATTTTTGGCCGAGAATATCCTTGACGGATTGCCATTTCCAAACGATACGTTTGATTTTGTTTTTATGCGATTTATGGGCTGGCATTTGAATCAAATGGAATGGGTTCGAATAATTAATGAATTGACGAGAGTGGCTCGTCCAGGTGGATGGATAGAAATAATGGAATCGGACATGATTTGGTATAATGAAGGACCTCACGCCCAGCAGTTTCGAAGAGGAGGTGAGTTGAATGTTTGATATGATCACTGGTTGTTATGTAAATCGATTCTATATATGGCGCTCCTAATCAACGACAGGAGGGTCTTTTAATATGTAACAAACATGCCTTTTAATTAATACGTAAAACTCTAACATATCTTTCCCCCCCCCACTCCTGCCTATCTAGTTTTGACAGAGCTGTTCACTAAACACCGTGTAAATATGGTCATGTCACATTTGATTCCACATCACTTCAAAACAACTGATGCTGTTGACACTGTATTCGTCAAGCAACTGTCCATTCCAATTGGCGGATGGGGAGGTAAAATTGGGTATATCCATGCATTTGATACACGATGGATATGCAGAAATTTGAAACGAGTTGTGGCATCATTTGGATTAGATAAAGAACGGTACTCTCTTCTGGTTGATGATATAATGAATGAGATTGAGGTATCAAATGTATATGAAAATTGTTATAGGTTTTATGCTCAAAAGAAAGCTTATTCATACTATTAAATTAGATGTATTAGTATCATTATTGATTGGACAAAGTGGTAAAAAAAAGTGGGGGAAAGTGGCTATCCTTCTTATTACCTGTAATGTATATCTTTTTCTTTTCTTTTCTTTTCTTTAATATATAATTTTATCGATAATAAAGTAATTGTCGATGTTGTGAGATAAACTCTAACCGTTAAATGTTTGTGTTCGATATTAATATCCGTATTTGTTTCCGATTTACCTATAAGAACACACAGACAACAGTGCCCCAAACACACACCATGGCACGGCATAGTCCTAATTCGATTTGGGTAAAGACTGTCATTGAACTTCACGCAGCTCGTAATCGACTGTTCACGAATCATTTCTCAAGAGACATGCACACTTACCCATAAAAGATAGAAATCCGAACTTATTGAAGTTAACCTTTTTCTATGCAATGCATGTGAAATATTACTCAATGACACAAACGTCATTTATTTTTTGGTGAAACGAATCTACTATGTTTTGTGTAAATGCTGGTATGATTAACTGTCATTTATCGTGTCTCAATGTTGGTTATTATGAGTAAGCGCAAATATCTTTTTCGTAAATCGTCAAGGCGTGGTTTCTTCTCTAAAACTCCCGTTTTAAAACCGTTTACATCGGTTCAAGGTACGTGCCGATCACGTCCCAAGTCTTAATATTATTCTGCCCCTGCCAATCTGTAGATTACTTCCAGAATAGTGAATTAGCGCATTGTTAAAGATGCTGGCTAACTATTTGCTAGACTGAGCGTCGAGCACTTCCTTGTGCGCTTTCCTTGTGCGCTTTTTTTGTGTGCTTTTTTTGTGTGCTTTCCTTGTGCGCTTCTTATACAAGTGCGACTCGATGAACGAACCACGAAAACCTCCTTTCCTATGGATCCCACTTGGTACCACAAAACTCTATTACCACGAACGTGCCCCCCAATGGTTCATATTTCTAAAAACGGGCCGTTATGAGTAAGGCTAAATGGTACGAGACTAACTGGCGAATAATCGATTGGTTTAAGTTAAAGTATTACAAGCAGGGATCTTATGATAAACGGAGAGAGTAGCTTATAAAGTCGTACCCGATCGATTCTTAGAATAGCTGTTAGTCTGTCGATTAATTATTCGGGCTTTTTATGACATAGTGTTGATCGAATAAAGTGCTAATAAACAGCGGGGTAACTTATCCTTTTACTATTGAGGAATAGTGACATTACAACATCGAATTGTTCAATTTTCGTGGTGAATGCCAGTTAATAAAGTAAACGACTAGCGTACAAATATTTCATAACACGTTTAGCGTTAGGTCCAGAACTCTGGTCGTTTTCAAGTCTCAACGTATGGGGAGGAAATGGCGTTAGCGCGGCCAATTAAACAGTCAGTTTAATGTTAATATCAATGGTGTTGTGTCCATTTTACTCTAGAATTATCTGACAGACGTTTATTTGCCTGATCAGGTGATTCTAGTCCCTAATTTTGGGATGCGTATAGTATATCACAAATCTTGAGTAAATTCGGATGTCTAGTAAATTTATTAAACACCACTAAAGATACTGTATATCAGACCCCATGCGCATAAAATTTATATCTCGCGCTTTTCTAAATTTTGAACAAATTGCAAAATGCGGTATAACAATGCCAATTGGATATCATGCGCATTTATCACAAGTCAAGCAAAAAAAAAAGATTAGGCAAATTTATTAGAAACACGTAAAGATATGAATATTCGAATAAGCGATATGCCGCTTAATATTTTTTTAGAAACAATACTGGATGCTGGGAATTTGCTGGAGAAAACTTTCAAACCATTTACTCGTTTTGTTTTAACCTAGCGATGACTTTTATTACCTGGCTTGCTTAGAAATGTGAAAATAGCTCGTCAATTAGCAAGATGACTAACAAGGTTCCAGCGACAGAAAATACAAAACCTTAATTTGGTAATAAATAACGCGAAACTTTAGTAATAAGGGCGCAAACGCCATTCTGCACTCCGACTTCTGAAATGTGTGATTAAAAAAGTCTTTTGTAGATTTGCTAATTATTAAATAATATTACATACTCAGTGTGAGCAATGTTTCTTAAAAGCTGTTGGCTTATGTAACTACACAATTAAATTGTAAGCAAGGCATGAAATTAATAAACTTCAGACAGTTGTCGATTCAAACACAGAATTATTAAAAGCTTGTCAGCTACATAATTAGAATTATACCTGTAGCTTTTATTTGACTTACTATATTTGGTTCAGTCAACATTATAATTACCCTAAATCGTCCGTTAACGTGATTTACCCATTATTGTCATTTTCTTGCCCGTAAATTAATAATGTTATTTGTCATTTCTGTTAGTATCCTGCATTAAGTTCCATCATATTATTATTACATTTGTTATTATCATTATCATTTACCATTACTACTACCATTACCATATAATTAATTATTGTTATTCTTATTCTAGTGCTTACATCAACTATTATTCGTATTCTCGTTTTATTAATACGTTGACATTGGTATTTGTTATTACCAATATTAGCACCAACACTGTTGTTGTCAAAAATCTGCAATTAAACATAACCATGGAATACTTGGCTGGTTCAGTAGAGAGTTCTCGTTCCGAGAAAGTTTAGCCAACTTTTTGCTCATTCTTATTATCGTCCTTAGTATTGTAGTATTTATTGATTTTCATTATTATCATTATCACATTTATATATTTAATTATTATCTCACCACATATTATTATTGTTGTCATTAGGACTAGGACAAAACCCCACTAATCTGGCGTCATGTTCTTCTCCGTACAACGGTACAACCAAACCCCCGATGACGACAGCGCCTTGTGCTGTCACAAAAGTATTCGGGGTTAGCACTATATGTTTTATTGGTTGTCAATCGGTTGACTATGCAACCCGCCGATCCGGAATTGGTTTCTTAATAACCTTGCATGTAAATGTAGTCGCCTACCAGTGGTCGTGTTCACTACATGTGAAAGATATGAGTTATTTGTTGAGGTCCAAATTATTGTGCGGAGTATCGCAAGAGTATCGGTCTCTAATAAAGAGTGCGAATAGCAGATATTAAACTTCCCAACATTCGAAAACCAATTTTAGTGGTTACGTCCGCGTGACTAATAAATACGGAGAGAATTCTCCAACGTTAAATTTCCTCTATCAAAAAAGGTAAAAATTTCAGTAATAATCTCAGCGATAATAAAAAAGGCAGAACGTTCGTATAATTATCACAACACACCTAGATTTAAAACGTAATGTCAATATTAATCTCGCGTACGTTGTCCATCTATTATTACCGGTCTAATAAATCCCAAATATTAGAGCAAGTCGACCAAGTCATAAATTGCGTGGGCAGTATTCTAACTAATGTTTACATCAGTTCTTCCTCTCTCGAGTATCAATCTGATAGAAGATCAATTGTGTATTTCGTCGACTATCATGCTACATGCAAGTATTACGCTATAGAATCAAAACGGTTGTTCGTAGCCGTGCATCAGAGAACTTTTCTCGGGATAAATCGTAGGTAAGTCACAACACGTGTTAATATAAACAGGATCAGAGCTCAATAATACAATCTAAATTAGCAATTGCGGGATCATTAAAATTTTGATTGATTTTTAATGCCCCTCGTCAACTAACAAACTTGTTTGCTCACGCATAATTGTCTAGATGCTGTACATTATGTTCTATCAACGCTGAACGCATACTAAGTCGCAAGCAACACATATAATCAATCGTCATAGTGTGTCCATCAATGCTAATTAGGCCTTGCCATCTATTCATATTTCTGATTGGTCGATAAAGATCACGCGATATAACCGTTTTCTATGACGCTCTTAGTTATCGCGTTTGAGAGTCCAATTCTCGAATGTCTGCGACTATGCAATGTCCCATCAAATATCCGGTTTACCGTCTTATCTAAATTATATCGTCAGCAAACCATTCTGCTCGACATCTATACATCATAGAATTCATTCATGTAAGTACTTCCTAATAATACTCGCCTCTCTGACAACAGTTTTCCGGTGCATAATGTGCCCCCCTTTCTCTATCACTCGGGCGTTGGTACCTCCAATCCAGCAAAAATTTCTTTGATAACCTCTGCATAATTTTCATATTCTTCAGGATGATCCAACACGTGCCTAAATCCCTCTGATTTTTTCACATCATTGAAATTTCTGATAATATATTCCAACAAAGGCCCTTTCAATTCCGGATACAAATACCCGGAACCAAACAACATTTCTGCCACATTTTCCGGACTTAGGTTTTCAAGAATCGATGCTTTCGCCAACTCGCTAAGATCAGTAATGCAATATTGATCGGCTAGAGTATAGATAGCAAGGGCAGATATTGAAGACTTGGGATCGGCATCAAAGTGTATTAGATCGATATATAGATAAAGAAGGAGAGCATTGAGAGTTGGATAAGATACTTCGGGAAGATCGATTACGTGATATTGTGAACTTTTTGTTGGGAGGGGCAGGGGCAAGGGCGAAGACGAAGACGAAGACGGTGAGGAAGTGGATGAACACGGAGAAGATGAAGAAAGAAACGGTTTTGAAGGTATAGATGACAAATAGCTTAGGCGGGATTTAATGGAGCATGCGTCATTCTGAATCCCCGATGTAGACGCAAAACTAGCGGTTCGATTATTCGTTCCAAACTGATTTCCCATGCTGCCCACCCCGTCTTGAGTCACTGTTTCGACATCATCCATTTCCTCCTCCTTAACTTCCATATTTTGCTCCTTGGATTTATCAAACAGTGATAGGTCTTCATAGCTAAAATCACTTTCTTCCATTGAACTGTCATCTCCGTCCATCCTTTCTTCGCCTTCGCCCTTTCTCGACTTTCTTTTCTCAGATATATCCTCTCGTTTTTTCTGCTGCACGTCTTGCTTCTCAATTTCTTCTCCTATGTCTTCCATACCATCCATTTCGTTATTTCCTCGTTCTTTTTCCTCGTATCTGCTCTTCTCAATATCGCTGTAAACATCTTCCTCCGTTTGATTTTCGATACTCTTCATTTTAGTCTCGGCCCATTGTCCATTAAACATGGCACGAAAGTACGGACTCCTGGCCGACAGAATCCTCGATTCGGCGTATAATGACCCACCTCGCGCACGAAATAAGATATCACTTTTAGAGGGGTTGTTCAGATAACTGCCCCAGACGGCAAGTAAAGACCGAGGTGTGGGTTTGTCAGGAAGCAGCGTGGCATATTTGGCAGACTGGATTTCTGCGTGGTCGAGCACACAGCCGACAATCACCTTATCTTTTGCGACGGTAACACGTTTCCAGAATTTGGGTGCGGCTGCAGATTACAAGGAATAAACAGTACATGTCGAAGACGGATTAAACAATTGGGTGGATTGATTGTTGACCGGAAGAGCAAAGGATAACGTTCCATAGTATACGAGCGAAAACACAAACGGGGAGGAAGTAAATAGAAGTATTATGTCAACTTCTGGTATATAAAATCATTCCAACAATCACAAAAAAAAACACAAACACTAGTTTCATTATTTATAGGCCATCGAGATTGCAATATCCCTCTCCATAAATTCATCCAACTCACTTCGGTCAAGTACCCTCCGGTTTAGTTTGTGGGGTGACACTCGCTGTTGAGCCAAGTACTGCGTTGCTGACTGTGATGCCTTTAAAAACAAGCGCGCAGTTACGTGTTTTCTCCTCGCTGCGAGCGTTTGGATCACTTTTTCGTGAGCGTTAGGTATGGCAATTAAGCGCACATAGCAATATTCCGGAGATTTCTTGTTCACCTGAATGGGGCAAAAAATATTTGATGAGGTAAATCATGAGCCTGCATGTGTGAACCATACGATTCGGATATCATTCGTCTGGTATACTCGATCATTGGATGGCAGGGAAAGAGTTGTTCAGCAAGCCCTCGTATATTAATAATGTAAACCTTAATTTTGCGTCCGTTCACTAAATTGCTGCAACTCCCCATTCAGTCCTCATTCTCCAACTTTGTCCATATACCTATTGTTGCACTTACCCCAAACGATAACTGCCAAAACAGTGGCGAAGACGCCCTGTTATATTCAAAACGATCACTTCCATAGCTGGATGCAAATGGAGGGCTAAACACCTCTCCTGACAATTGAGATACGTTCCTTATAGTAAATTGAAAGGTTATTTTGCTCTCCAAATGAGGTGAAATTTTAGTCGTTGTCATTTGGTAAATCAGCAGCACAATATAATCTATTCTCTATTTATTATCTTAACGTTATTGATATTATTGATGCGTCTTTGAAATATAAAGGATGGAAAAGTTTCGAGTGATCGACGTAGTCCTGTGTTTTAAAATAACTTTGATTGTGATTGGTGACGCATCATTTGTTATAAAGAAAATAGTACTAATACTGTTGGGGAATTCCTCTATGTCTAAGAGAATGGTCTGCTGTCAATCCATGTTTTTAGCGACACATGAAAATCACGAAGGTTTACTGTGGTTTTTGCTTGCGCGTGCATCGAAGGCATTCACCTTGCATTTTATTAGTATTGGGAGATGCACGATGTTTTGACTAGTTGTAAATTAAAGCCAATCGTGTCGCTCAATGCGAATGCAGGCATACTGCTGATCCTAAAACTAAATAGAGACTACACTAACCAAGTTGCCGCATTTCATGTAACTTCTAAAGTTGCCAACCCTCCAACTTCCAAAATTATTGCGTAGGCTCTAGAGGATAATATAGTCTAGGATAGAACAAGAATCAATTCAGTCATGAGTAGTTTATCCTATCTTTTTGCCGTTACTATTTCAAGTCAGTCTCACGTGATTTCGTGTACACATTGTGCATTAACAATCATACGATAAAAATGTCAACAAATCATACGATCGAAGCATTAATCATACGATCGAAGCATTAATCATACGATCGAAGCATCAATCATACGATCGAAGTATTAACGACCGAAGAAGTAATGAAGATAAATGTCCATCGGTTTCAATTAGTATCAGGATTTGTTGAATTCTCTAAGACAAGCTAGTCTACAGAGTTATTTCACGATTTAACTGTATTATATAACTCGATAAGTCGAGCAGATATCTTTGTCCATATTTCTTATATCGAAGGATTCTCGCCACTTGTATTCCCTTTTTACCCATCTTGTGTTATTGATTATTTGCCATTCAAAAGATTAAACATTGTGACGGATCAAAACGAAATCGGATTAAAATGAAATTTTCTCTATTTTAATATGAAAATTTAAAAAATTTTTGGAGGGCAGCTTTTTTTGGGATTTGGGTTGGGATTTAGGGTAACTTTTGTTAATATAAGAGTATATGTGGGTTTCAGAGACATTAAAAGAGAATCCGAGAAGACCCCAAATTTCGTTTTAATCCGATTTCGTTTTAACACAAACATTAATATATTTGCTAATTGCTTATTAATAAAATTCAGTAAGATGCTTACCATATTGTATTCGATTACTACTGAGCGAGCAACTGTTGGCAACATTTTTGGACATCTTTAGGGTTAATAATTTTAAAGAGCTTCATCATGGGGCTTCTCTAAAATCTTCCGACTGCACTCCAATTTTTATTCACTTCGTTTACTTCCGAGGCTTGCTTTGCGTTTTGGCATATTAGCCACAAGAGGTAATCCAATCACATGTTCTGGTTTGCATACAGTGTGTAACAAAAAAACCACCAAAAATTGAAGTAATTCTGTCCTGTAAATTCTCCAGATTCTTTATTCGATGTGCTATGAATAAATTACATTGAACGACTAAGATAGGTTAAATTCGGAGTATACAAGTTACCCTAGTCAATTTATTTTTCTGAATATACCTCAAACTATGGACAAAACAGCCAATGCTCCTGACTTGTGCCTGAATAATAAGTAAAAGGAAAGTATGGAAACGTCAAAACGCGAAAAATTTAGCCAAACAAAATCAATGATGGTTGAGGAGTGAGTAGTTTGACCAGAACAGACTATAATTCAATTTTTAAACTCAATAAACGAGAATGTAAGCCTATTAAAAACTAAAGGAGAGCATGTTTTATATTGACTTCTCAATAATATAATCTACATCTCTTTAGCTTTTAAACGAGCTATTATTTGTGCTATTTGTTATAGAGGTTAACAGATAACGGGCGGTTTTGGTTTTTTTGTTACACACTGTACGTGATTGAGGATAATAATAAACAAATGTTATATCCAAATTGGTAACTTTTCATAGGCAAATACTTACAATATTATGTCAATTTTTTTCGCGTATGATGAGTTGGATTGCCTTCCAATTGCAAGTTCCACTGAATTGTGCTCCATTACGAGATAAATACAACATAAGAATACGTTATCGGTACATACCCAGGCCATGTCTGAACTTTTGTAGATTAACAACGTCATTGTAGACGACGCTTTAATCCAGGTAAAGACTTCAACCAAAAGTTATCGATGCGCCCCTTCTTTGAGATTCAAACCTACATAGATATACAATGCGCGAAAAAAGTAATGAGAATGACGTTTTTATTTATAGTACAACGAAAACGGGTTAAAAATATATTGCAGGTATACTACTACCTATGGTATAATAAACAAGTTTACTTAAGCCACTTAATAGTTGGACATACTGCAACAAAAACCAGACAAAGTGAACATTTAATCATGTGAGCTAAAAATGGCTGATGTGGCTGAGTAAGACACTTTGCTTTCATGGCACTGCTTGGCTCGAAATCTCATTGCATTTTTAAATTTATATTATGAACTTTGTTATCATTATAACAGTAATATATTTCATATTAATATAGGCCCTATTTCTATTACTATATAAAAATATAATATGAAACTAACTTACATCAAATCCACCATGGAACCAAAAAATTACAGTACTATTCGCAGTATATTAAAAAAAGAGCAAGGAGAAAGAATTGCTCCATACGTTTTTAAAATTAATGATACCCAAACTCTCCAGGAGTATCTAGATAAAGAAAAAATCACTTATGAAATTTATCAAGAAGAACGAAAAATAATAAACTATGCCTATTTATTTATTGTACTTGATTTTTGCAATTCATATTCGAACTCCTGAAAATAAAAAGCACTCAAACTGCCAGTTATTCCAGTCATTGTACCTAAGGCACGACTCGTAATAGACAGCAAAGTTTAATAACGAGTAATAATACAATACGAGACCTATATTGAAAGACAATTGTTTCACTTCCAAAAGCAGAAGTAATCGTCGGCATACAATACAACAGTTCGAAACATTGTCCATAACGTGATATGCAAAGAAGCATATAAAAGAGATTTTTCCCTTCCTTCGTCTTCATTTTCCTGACAAGGGTGTTTTTATTTTGCCAAGTGTGCTGCCAACGGATTCGGCAACTATAGCGATAGTTGATTCGGCGCTTCAATATGGAGAAGTATCACATGTTTGTGTAAGTAAAGCACATAAACAGGGCTGAGTTGGGCGGCGCAGAGCTGATGCGCGACTCTTCTTTTATCATTCACCAAAACATACCCAATATTTAGATATGGACGTAAAAGTAATGAGTGAAAGCGAGTTCTGCTGGAAATACAGAAGTGACAACCCGAAAGCAACCTATGGTGAGGCAAAAGAGGCATACCAAGATTACATCAAAGCGCATGGTAAGCAAGCAATACACGTTTATTGGGAGGATAGTTACGAATGTTATCAACACAACAGTGTTGGGATGAGCTGAATCGTAGCAGAGCTAGGTTATACATAAATGACAACAATGGAGGGAGAATAGCTCAAATGCATAGTAGGCAATAGAGGCCGTTGGGGTGTTATTAGTTGGGGGCAGGGCTGAATCATATCAGAGCTAAACTCATTGCAAAGATGAACTTGAGAGGACAAGAGACAAATTAGCAAGAGATGACATGTTTGGTAGGAGTAACAGAGGGAGGGCACTTCCAATGCTGTTGTCATGTACATTCCATATGTTTGGTCTCCTTGTTATAGTCTGTTTGTCCATCTTTGAGAATTTCGGCTAATTAAATACCTTTTTTGCATTCTGCTTGCCTTTAATGACTGTTCCTTAACATAAAATTTTCCCTATTATCAGTTATAGGAACTCAAGGAAGACTAGGTATGTAGTTGGATTTCATCTTTTGTATTCATGCATTAGTTCTTATATATCATAACCTTTGTGGTCTGATAGGAGAATATTAACTTATGTTTCATTCATTAATTTAGGAGGGATGGGTGGAACAATGTACCAAGGAGATGAGCAAGGCCATGGTTATGAGGGTGTAAACCTATCTGATCCCACAATTTGTAAGAGAATTCCAACAATAACAAAATTGTTGGATCATCTAACTGAAAAGCGCGTTCTTTTAATACGGTCTCCACCAATGGCAGGTAAAACATCACTTGCACAACTTCTTGAGAATTATCTGTTGGAAGAACACACTGGAATGAGAGTTTTTCGTGTATCTCTGTTGTGGATGCAGGATGACAATCCAGAATGGACCTTTTCAGATCGGTTTCAATGGCTTATGGGTGGTGTTGGTTGGCGCCGATTTGTCTCTGAATCTTCAGGTATTGAAACCATCTTAATTGTAGATGAAGTTCAGAAACTATATAAACCTGACACAGAAGATTCTGTGCCACTTCATGGTGGAAAAGAATTTTGGGATGCTTTTAAGGATGTTCAGCAATATAGCAAGCTCCGTATAGTAGCCTTTGCATCATATGGGTATTGTGGTGCCTATGATGCCAACTTACGCAAAGGTACTGTGATGAATGTGTCACCATTTCAACTGAGTGAGCACAATACATGGGGGCTGGAAAATATGCGGTTTATGTCAGAAGAATTTACAGAATATGTTGGACGGTTCTGTGAGCAAAAACTAAAATCCCTATCAGCCCCTGACAAGAACAACCTTCTTTCTTATATTCGCAAGACCACAAGTTGTCATCCCGGTCTAGTGGCATTTGCAATGGACAGGATATATGAAAGATTCTCTGCACAAATAAAACAGAATATTGATCCATTAACTTTTGAAAAAATATATAAATATCTCAAATCTTATGACTTTTATGCAAGCCTAATGGTAAGAAATGTTCACATTTACTTTGAAGAACTAGGAAATCCTAATTTATAATTGTCTCATGTCAGAATTTTTTTTGTTCATAACTTTAGAATACACGAGCTGTCTATGGCCTCAACGGAATGACAGATGATGAGCAAATGCTCACAGATTGTGTCCTCTTTAGCCCATCTGGAATCAATATCCGTCCTGAAGCGATTCCAAACAAAGGCCGCCTGATAAAGACCAATATTCTCTCTGATGTCAGCGATGCTACCAGTCATCAGTCAGCAACACATAAAGTGCTCGATTTTGCAGCACCGTTAATTCGTCTTGCCTATCTACAAAATCGTGTGGGATCTATGCGACGATCTGTTATAACCCCTAAAACCTTCCGAGAATTTTTGACATTAGTATTTGCTGGAATGAACCCCAAAACGCTGCAAGTATCCTTGGGAATTGGAGTAGATGGCCGTTTATTAGAACGGGTATGGCAAATGGAATTCTATCGTGCAGCAACACAAGTCCTTCCTGCAAATATCTTTATATCAGTTGATGTTGGAGCTGTCTTTGGTTCGAGTGGATTTATTGATTTTTATGTTGATGATGCAAGAGACTGGGCAATCGAACTCTTACGGGATGGAAATGACGTCGAAGAACACTGTAGACGATTTGAGGCTGACAATGTATATGGCCCTATTGTTAAAATTGCAAAAGAGTATGCCATTATTGATATTAGACAGTCACAGAAAGAGCTTCCACGTTCTCCCAAACGAGAATTTATACACGTCCAGTGTGCTAAAAATTTTGAATTTGTTATTATGAGGTTTGCAGATGGGTCAAACAAGAAAGTAGCATTATTAGGATCGGGAATTATGGAGGTGTTGGATGCGGAAAAGATACTAAAGTTAAATAGTAACAGTGAGATTTAGCTCCAACATAGGAACTTGCTTTTCCATATAGTTTGCATGTATAAATTTAAAGAATTGTCTACAGGTGCTGTATGTTTGCATTGCATAATAAATGTAGAAGTCTATTTCAGATTATGTTCTTTGCCCTTATATGGTCAAGTACTTATATGAACATGCGGCCAGGTCCTTTAGGCAAGCACGTTGAGCATAAACGAGGATAATACTCGTCTATTGACGGATATATAAAGAACGGCAAGTGACGTGACGAAACAGTTACCCACAACAAATGGGAGCACGTTGTGAACCTATAGCGTCTACAAATCGGTGCATGCATAGCGAAACTCGTTCCCAGAAACGTGATAAACCTTGGGACATCACAAACATAACGTATTCTTGAGCTCCGAGTTAAATATAAAAAAGCTTCATGGATAAATCATTAAGCTTATCTAAAACTGTAAATTGATGCTACTTTCAAAGATTGTAGGCAATTATCCATTCACAAATAATGGTTTTTGAATCTGCGACTTAAAAAATGCCAATACCTAATACTGATAAAAATTATATATAGGATTATCCGTATATGAAAAATAGTGGTTCTACCGAATTTGAAAAAGCAATAGATAGGTTGCAACTGTGGTTGCTCAAAAATGATTCCGAGAGAAAAGTTTGCTGAATTACGTGAGGCGTTTCAAACTCTCGCTAGAGCCGAACAAGATATATTTTTAATGACTCAGTTGAAAGCAGTGAATGGTGGAGAAATAACTGCCAGCCGATGTCTTAAAAGAAAACGCACACTAATAAGAGAACATTTTACTATTGAGATCGCAATACGCCCGCACGCACTTCGAAATTACCTAGCGGCGAATGGTATAATACCGCGCGTTCATGGCAATGTAAAAAGAATGCCACGATGGAAAACCAAAATAATCATTGATATAACCGTTGCTACCGTCGTGAAGAATTTTCTCGAAAAATTATGTTGAAATTCATGGTCTACCAAGTCCTGGTAGATGTCAACCGAATTACTCAATCGCTTACACTCTTGCCAGCTGAAACAGGTCTCGAAAACGATAATTGTTAAAATATGACGCGTTCCGCAAGAGATGGCACCAATTAACGCCTTATATTCAAATTATGAGTCCAAGAACGGATTTATGTGACACGTGCTAACATTTTCGGAATGGCTTACAGTATAATGCGCGCAAGGAAGAAGAAGCAAAAGATTTATCAAAAAAGTACAAAGAACATTTAGTTAAGGCTAAATTAGAGAGAAATTATTTCAACAAGAATACGAAATTAGCAGAACAACAGAGAAAATTGGTAAATGGGTATTTATAACAGAAGCTGATTATTGTAGCGTTGATGCTACTGCTCATTACAGTTACGATTGAGCACAAAATGTTCACGTTCCCCATTCCGATCAACAGGTAAGTAAAATTTATTA